ATTACTTTCTGGAATCCTCCTTTGGGGGTCCAGAACCTGTGATAAACTTCAGAATTATTCATAAAATTGGCTAGAACGTGCATCTGCACTTTGAGGGGGCGGGAGAGGGAGGGAGAGAGAGAGGGAGGGAGAGAGAGAGGGAGGGGGAGGGGGGAGGAAAAGGGAGGGAGGGAAAGAGGGAGAGAGAGATAGAGAGATATCATGAATTTTCATAGATCCTTAAAAGGACAAAAAACTCCCCAAATGGTTGTGAAACACTGCCATATTAAATAGGGAACTGTTTTCGAAAAGGTACTGAAATAATAGAAATGTACTTTAGGAAAATTATAAAAACATTAATTAGAATAGTGCCCCTCAAATGATATGCCACGACCCACCTGCATCACAATCACCTGAGACTCTTGTTTTAAATTCACATTCTTGGGTCCCAAACAAGACTAGTGAATGAGAATCTCTACATATTGGACCCACATTGAGTTTTAAGAAGTTTTGCAGAGGTTTCTTATCAAAACTGCAGTTTAAAAACCTTAGAATTGTTGGATGGGTCAGAGGATGGAAAATCTAAAGTCTAGGAAACAAAAAGATGACTACAAGAGGCTATTTGAAATAATCTGAGCTAATTACTGGCACACTCATAACCTGAATGTGATTTTTATATAACTATTGATAACTAGGTTGCTTACAGGGTCAAGGCTATTTCAAGTGAAGTATTCAGGTCCCCCCAGGGACACCTRCACTAGTATATACAATAAAAGATGCTAAGAAAACACAATTTGGGGCTATGTCTGACTTTAGCTATAAACTACAGGTAATACATTTTGGGGTGAGGGATACTGGGAATGGAACCCATAGGCATTGAGCCACATACCCAGACCTTTTTAAAAATATGGACTTTTGGGGCTGAGGTTGYGGCTCATTGGTAGAGCGCTCACCTAGCACGTTCAAGGCCCTGGGTTCGATCCTTAGCACCACATAAAAATAAATAAATAAAATAAAGGTATTGTGTCCAATTACAACTAAAAGAAATTTTTTTTTAAATATTGACTTTTGAGACAGGGTCCTCGCTAAGTTGCTGAGGTCCTTGCTAAGTTGCTGAGGCTGACCTGGAAACTTGCAGTTCTCCTGCCTCAGCCTCCCGAATCACTGGGATTTCATGCGTGAGCCACTAGGTATGGCCAGATAATTCTGTTTATACCTTTGGAGGAGTAAATGAGAATATTTTGTTCTACTTACATCTAGAGGAGAAAAAGGACAAAAGGTAAATTAGTTAAAGATATTTAACATACAGTTAATTAAATCTTGCTCTCATGAGATTCAAAAGAGCAAAAGAGTAAATAATGTCTCCTTCATCCCATTTTTCTCCAGACACCTATTTTTTTTCCCCTCTCCAGAGGCAAACACTGTTCTAACTTTCTCATGCATCCTTTTGGAAAGTCTATACACATATGAGCATATATAGATATTTATGCATACACAGATTTACAGGAATTCCTCATTTGGGTAGCTTGCTGGGAGTTATTGGAGGCCCAAGACTGCTGGATTTGGGATAGTTTCTAGYGTCTTCTGAGTCTCTGATGAGCTTCCATGGTAGACAACAGTTCACAACTTTTGTCACTTTGATGCTGGAGTAGTTACGCATTTGTGTTACTCCATGGGTCTCTTGCAAAAACTTCATTTTATGTGACTTTATTCTTTGCTGATTTTCTTTGTATCCTTCTGGTATATTAAATCTTAGCTRTAAATACAACTAAGTCCTGTGAGTTCATCTAGTGCATCACTAAATCTGAGGATGATCTTGGGGACGCCCAACATAGGTAGATCATGTGTTTCCGTCTGTATTACAGACTATATTCTCATGCCATGAGAACGACATGCTGGTTAAATGTCCTTGTGGGTTAAAAGACGATCAGATTCAGAGAAATCATTTGTATTAAGAGCACTTTACTAACATTATTCTGTACCTCATCAATAAAAAGATGTTTTTGTGCCTGGGTGTGTGGTGGTGCACATCTTTAATCCCAGATACTCAGGAGGCTGAGGCAGAATTGTAAGTTTGAGGCTAGCCTCAGCAACTTAAAAAGACCCTCTCAAAACAAAATTTTTTAAAAGGGGCCAGGATATAGCTCAGTGGTAGAGTGTCACTGGGTTCAATCTCCTGTATCAGAAAAGAAAGGAAAAAAATATTTTGTGTACTTTCATCATGACTGTTTACCCTGAAGAGAAGGTGGCAACTGATATGTAACCTTCCAAGGCATTATAATTTCTTCTCCAACAATCTTATCTGGGCTAGAGCCATGTGATGCTCAAATTGTCATTCAATTCATCATCTTTTGGGAAGGATTTCAACTTTCCTACTTTATTTTTAAAATTAATTAATTAACTTCTTTTAATTAGGTATATATGACAGCAGAATGCATTTTGATTCATTGCACACAATTGCCACACAACTTTGATTTCTCTGTTTCTCAAGCAGCCTTAAGAATTACTAATTTCTTCCTGTTTTTTCTACTCTTCCAATTTTCTTTTTTTCCCTGTATATTTCTCAATGTTACCAATTGTTGATTTTTTTTCCACTTCTGCTATTTTCTTTCTTATTTCCTAAGCATTCTTATTTCCCCCATTGCATCCTGTTGTGGCTTCATCTTCTGCCTTTCTTTGGATATTATGAATTTTTAAAGTGTTCTCGCTGCAATTTCTGGAGTTTTTATTTAAAAATTTTTTAAAATTCTAATTTGTTACATATGATAGCAGAATGCATTGCAAGTCATATTACACATACAGAGCATGATTTCTCATGTCTCTGTTTGTATGCAAAGTATATTCACACCATTCATGTCTTTATACATGTACTTGAGGTAATGATGTCTATCTCGTTCCACCATCTTTTTTTTTTTATCCCCATGCCCCTCCCTTCCCCTCCCACCCTTTTGCCTATCTAGAATTTGTCTAATCCTCCCATACTCCCCCTCCAACCTCATTATGAATCAGCCTCCTTATATCAGAGAAAACATTCAGCATCTGTTTTTTGGGGGATTAGCTAACTTCACTTAGCATTATTTTCTTCAATGCCATCCATTTACCTGCAAATGCCATGATTTTATTCTCTTTTATTGCTGAGTAATATTCCATTGTGTATATACACCACATTTTCTTTCATCCATTCATCTACTGAAGGGCATCTAGGTTGGTTCACAGTTTTTAACTCTATTGGTAAGTGCTTATCTTGCATGCATAAGGTCCTGGATACAATCCCCAGTACCAAAAAAAAAAAAAAAGAAAAAAAAAGAAAAATCTCTCTGCATTTCTATTTCCTCCATATTCCTTTTTCTGATTCTTAGGATTTTTCTATATTACTAGATTTTCTTGGTTTTGGACTATGATAAAGTAAAACATGAGTAAAAAGAGGAATTTTTGAATGGCCCTTGCTTTTGACTTTGAATTTCACTATAGGGTGATCTGGTGTATGATACCAACCTCATTGTTGGTATATTTGGTCAACCTCTTGGATTAGTCAGATTTTGGTCAGCATGGGGAGAGATACAGATGAGGGGTCTTTCTTTTCAGTGGCACAAAGTTTTGYTTATTTACTCCCATTTTAGGTATAGCACTCAAACACTCATCAGGGAAGCTCCTCTCTCCAGAGACTTAAACCTCCCAACTTCAATACAGGTGGGAGCAGGATAGATGACCAGGGACCTGAAACTGGAGAAAGGATCTGGTGATTTAATTCTTACCGAGAAAAAACTTAAACCCTCTAGCTTCATTTGCTCTGAATTGATTTATAAATCACTAATTTTGAAGGTCACATAGCTCGACAATACATTAGTTGTTTCCTGCTAGTCTTGTTGTAGATAACACCTCTGACAGGTGAGTGATGATGATAAGAGTTGCCTAGGTTACTTTTCTGGTACCTGAAGGCTTCTTTTGCTGAAAACAATAACTCTTCAATTGTGTCTATGGTTGTACGGTGCGAGACTAGAATCAGATGAAAAGGCTTGGCATCTGTTGTGGTTTGGATGTCAAGTGTTCCCCAAAAGTTCATGTGTGAGACAATACAAAATGGTCTGGAGGGAAACTGACTGGGTTGTAGCCTTAATCCAATCAGGAATCAATCCCTGATGGGATTAACTGAATGGTGACTGGAGGCAGGTGGAGTGTGGCTGGAGGAAATGGAGCATTGGGGGGCGTGGCTATAGGGTATATATGTTGTATCTGAAGAGTGGAGCCTCTTGGCTTTTTGATCATCATGTGAGTCATGCTCTTCTGCCATGATGTTCTGCCTCACTTCCAGGGCAGAGGAATGGAGTCAGCCTTTGATGAACTAAGACCACTGAAACCAAGAACCCGCAAATAAACTTTTCCTCCTTTAAAATTGTTCTGGTAGGGTCATTTAGTTCCTGCAGGGAAATAGATGATAAAAGAGCATCTCTCTTTTCATACGGTGTCTGTCTCCTTTATTGCCTTAACTTTTGAGTCAGATTCTACTCAGCTCTGCACATATACTTGTTTAACATTTGAGAAATGTTTTGTCCAAAACTATGAAATAGGGTTAACTTGACCTAGACCTGCCTTGTTTTCCCTGTTCCCAAGGGTAAAGACACCTACCAGACACCATGACCCGAAACACCAGGCCATGAAAGGAGTATTTGGCCCTGGGTACCTGAAAGATCTCCACTTATTCCCAGAAAACATATATTCCTCTCCCTTGCTAGCCTATCCTTCTCATTATTCCTATCCTGTAAACTCCTCAAGCCCCTGGAGCTGAGAAGTCCATCTGCAAACCGCTGTCCCTTTTCTCCATTTGTAGCCACTGAATCTGGGTTCACTAACATAAATGCTTTTCAAGCAGCCTTCATCTATTTCTTTGCTTTCTCATACTAATGCTTTCTAGCTTCCGCATTTTGTTGCTGTCATCTTGTGTCCTGGTGGGTCTGGGTTTTTCCTGAGTTTGGACAGGGAGGAAGTTGTATTTCAGCCTCCACCCTAACTCAGCACTTACCCCAACCACAGCAATCTTTCTGGCCACTGCATCTCTATTGCTGCGAAATCAGCTTCAAAGACACCCTACTTCTCCATTTTGGGGTCTTTCTCTGTCCTTAGGCTCCACAAGCAACCGCGACACAGATCGACGAGCCACTCGCTGGAACTAGCCGCGGAGCGGGTATTTATCCGGCTCAGCCACCCGCGCGCTAGGCGTGCCGGCCGGACRCCGGCAGGCTGCGGGGACGTTCGCGGCCCCGCGCCAGCGCGCATTCATAGGGCCGCGGCCGGGCACCGTCCCAACGCCGGTAGTCGAGCGCCGACCCAGCTCCGCGCCTGGCAGGCCGCGCTCCCCAGCTGGTATGTCGTGGCCCCAGCTCCGGCGCCCGCGCCTCCTCGCTCGCGCGCCCYGCGGCGACCCGAGGCTTGCTCTACTGCTCTTGTTGGCGCTGGCGCCGCTGCTCTCGGCGGGGACCCACTGCCCGTGCTCGGAGCCCGAGCTCTGCAGCCCGATCCAACACCGCCCGGACTTTGAGGTCAGCGTCGCTTTTCTGCGCTTCCGGGTCTGGCCCTCAAAGCCGGGAGAGAAGTTAAGAGTGGGACGGAGCCCTACCTAGAGGTGGTGGTGGTGCTGACACCTACTTTGACCACTCGCCGAAGGCTGTCCTGTTTACGGATTGCCTACAATTTATGGATGAGGAAACTTGGGCGCAGACAGGTTGAGGAACTGCTTCCAAGTCTCACAGGCTAAGCGGCTGCCTGGGTGGGCAAGTGTTCAGATCCTCAGCTGGCCCACTCCTTTCATCATCCTGCTCTGCTTCCTGGGGCAGCACCGGGGTGTACACACAAGGAGAGTAGGGTGATAGGGTGATCCATTTCTTGGCTTCCAAGAGAAATAGGATTTAGTATGAAGAATTTTAGCACTCTAACAGTACATTGGAAAGCAGGATGTTCTCCTTACCTTTAGTTTTTATACTTATTAGCCCTTTATAAAAGCACCCCCACACCACCAAGAAATTTATTTTATAGCACACCAGCCTGTTTATTTTTTTGGTACTGGGGATTGAACCCAGGGGCGTTTAACTATTGTGTCACATCCCCAGGCCTTTTAAATATTTTATTTAGAGACAGGGCCTAGCTGAGTTGCTTCAGGCCTCCCTAAATTGTTACAGCTGGCTTTGAGCTCATGATCCTTCTGCCTCAGCCTCCTTAGCCSCTGGGATTACAGTCCTGTGACACCCGGCCTGGCCAAATCTTAACAGTTTATAAGGCTTCTGGCAAACACCCTTTCCGAAGCAATATGAAAACCATCTGGAGTTTAATGACTGGCAGGAATTGGAGGCAAGGAGATCAGAAAATTTAGTCCAAAGAATCCTTGTTTGTAGAAATAGAAACAATTCCTAGCTCTTAAATTATTAATTTTGAGGCAGGGGCATTTAAATGCCAATTTTAAAAAGTACATATACATACTTTAGGAMTAAAGAAATAGAATTGGTGAAAGTATTTTGGAGAGCCTACCTAGTGTGGAAACTTAACATCTTCCTGAAACAAAAATTTTAGACCAATTAAATAGCAAAGAACAATTCATGATTCTTGGTAGCACTTAAACCATAAAAAGCTCAGAGAGGTCCAAAGTGTAAGGCTGGCTATTATCTGCTGAACATGGAGACAAAGTAATTACTTGATTGGCTCTGGGTAGGTATTTGTCTATATGGGTATGATCTGGTGGAAAGTCCCTGCTTAGAGGTAGTTGGTTACTGATTGGTTAAGTTTATTTCCTTTTACTGTTTACATTGGTTTGCACTTTGCTTAAGTGGGAATCCRAGGCTCTGGAACTGTTTCAGCTGAATGACGAGCCAATTAAGCGGTTTTTGTTTTAACAGTCTGATTTTTTTTGTAGCTTACAATACTTGGGCCATGTAGTGTTTGTGGGTATTTTAAGAAATCAGTTTTATAAAGAAGCAAAATTATGTATTATTTGTATGTTCATAGTAAATGGATCCTTTATTGGCTTTTTTTTGTATTCGAGTAGGAAGTCTAGATTATGTGGCTTCCTCCCACAATTGATTATATATAATAAATTATATGTAACTGGGGGGAGTTGAGGGCTGGGAATTGAATGCAAGGCCTGTGCATACTAAGCATTCACTCCTAGCCTAAATCACACTCCTGTGGCTTTCCCATATTTTCCATTGGTTCATCCAATTATTAATGTTTTTAAGAACTTCTATTATATCACAGGCTCTCAATAGTTTCTTTAAATATTTATTTTTTTAGTTATAGGAGGACACAATTTTTTTTTCTTTTTTTATGTGGTGCCRAGTATTGAACCCAGTGCCTCACGCATGCTAGGTGAGCACTTTACTTCTGAGCCACAACCCCAGCCCCTCAAGAGTTTTTTCCCCCAATAGATTGAACTTATGTTAACTTACTTTTTCTCAATAATTTTTTTAAAAAACAAATTCAGCCTTAACTATCAGAATTAAAAGTGGGATGTTTTGATAGAAATATGAGTCCAAAGACAATGAGCCATTCAGTTGCACATTTTGTAATTTTTATTATTTCATTGTGCTGTTGCTTAGCAGAAAAATGAGTTGTACAAAGATACTTCTGAAAAGTTAAAAAAAGGTGGGGGGGTGAGAAAATTAAGAGATTTCTTTTATAGTTGATGTTCCCCTGGGYCTTTCCCACATCCATTCTCACAATAGCTTCCATCGTCAATCTCTTTTTAGAGCAAATCTTACGTCCCTCCTCTGCTTCAAACTAATGGATTCCCATCTATCCTAGGTTATAATCCAAAATTCTGTGGTCTACAAACTACATGATCTTGCCAAATATCCCAGTTGTGATTCCACATAAAGTGAAGGTTTCTGTGTTCTACATGATTATCTCACTTTCAGAGTCTCAAAATCCTTCTGAAGTGTAGGGAATTTGGATTTTTTGTTCCCTCATCTGAGAATGCTTTTTTTTTTTTTTGTCCATTAGAATCTTCCTCCCTTGTCATTCCACAGATTTTAGTCCTCCCCATCTGGGAATTTTCCTGCCCCACCTGGCTAGTGGGTCCCCTTTAATATAGTGTTATGACTGCGTGTATTTGTTTAAGGCCAGGAGTATTGTTGTAACTGATTAACTCCCAATGGATCCGGTATKTCTTGTTAACCACTATATCCCTAGTGCTTTGCAAAATACCACCCTCCCATTATATTGAAATTCAGTAAATATTTGCTGAATCAGTTAGTACCTTGGGATAAAACAAATATGAATAATAAAACTTCAGAGCTTCTACAATTAGCTGGGAGGGAAATACTGGAGAAACACAGCATCAGCTCTTAGGATTGAACTGTAATAGTATTCCAAKAAGTCACCCTCATCAAAAACATATAGTAACAAATGCAGTAACTATGGCTTCATCAGTAGCAGCCAGAAACCTGAGTATTATCAAACTCCTTTCCCTTGCCTTGCTCATTCCATTAGTCACAAAGTCCTGTTAATTAGCCGCCTCTAATTCTCCCAGATCTGTTCAATTACCTCACTCATCTCCAGTGCTCCATCCACATCATCTCTTGCATAGATTCATGCAAGAGCTTCTCTATTATGCCTCCAGCTTTGGCCCCTCTTTAATCCATTTCACACTTCAGCTCAAGGGATTTTTCTAAAGTGAGTACTTTCTCATTTTAAAAACTTACTATTCTCTTCCTTTTACTCACAATAAGTACCAACTTTTCCAATGGCTTACAAGTCTCTTCACGACTGAACCCCTACCTACCACACTCTGGTTCTTTTCTATGTTCTCTTTCTAAACTCTAGGCATGGCCACACTAAATAGTTACCCAACCATTATGCTCTTTCTGCCTCCAGACCTTGTCATATGCACTATTTCTTCCTGGCCTGTCCTCCAACTTCCAGACCTGGCTAATTACTCTGCCACCAATTACATTGGGACCCTTATATCTTATTCACTCTTGGACCCTCAGTGCCTGATATAATGCTTGGTATATTGTGATATTTAATATTATTTGGGGTGGTTATCATGAGATTCTTGATTTAAATGATGGTGCTTATCCCTGTTTTTCTGGCAGGTATTTGTATTTGATATTGGAGGGAAAACTTGGAAATCTTATGACTGGTCACAGATTACAACTGTGGCAGTTTTTGGAAAATATGACTCAGAACTTATGTGCTATGCTCATTCAAAAGGAGCCAGAGTAGTTCTGAAAGGTATGTGTGTTTTGTTTTGTTTTTACCAGATATAAGTGTTCAGCCAGTTAGTAAATTTACCTATCATTTGTTATAGTTCTTACTAGGGAAAAAAATATATATATACATACATATATACATATATATGTATACCCGACTGAAAAAAAAGGGGAGTTTTTTTTCAGTTGGGTACATACCTGTAATCCCAGCTACTTGGGAGACTGAGGCAGGAGGATCACAAGTTCAGGCCAGCCTCAGCAATTTAGTAAGACCCTACCTTAAAAAATAAAAAAGGGGTAGAGATATAGCTCCATGATAGGGTACCCCTGGGTTTAATTCATAGTATTTTAAAAAATTCCTTTTTTCTGTTTATCTATCTTTTTCAAACTTTAAAATTAATCTTACATACTACTAACTCCATTTCACAAATACAGATGTTTTTAAAGAATTAACTAAACTACTTCATGGTTTTGAGTAAAGCATGACTGCCAAATTAGCATGTTGACTTTTAGTTAGTAATAGGCCAAAATTTCTGCTTCTAGTTTGGGAATTTTATTTGTAGTAGTTATTTTGGATATTAGCGAGCAATAGCTTTATGTCATTTTAGTACATGATTTCTCCATTTGGAAAACTTAGATTAGGGCTTAGTATTCCAAAATAATGAGATGTTTTAAAGAAATTTTGAAAATGGGTTTGTGAAGTAAATAGCACTGAACTGTGAAGCACACACACACACATATAATGTRTATATATATATATATAYACACACACACACAAAAGATGTCTATTTCTTTCACAGGAGATGTATCCATAAAGGATATCATTGATCCTACTTTCAGAACATCCTGGATAGCTCAAAAACTGGATTTGGCCAAAACACAATATATGGATGGAATTAATATAGATATAGAGCAAGAAGTTACTTGTTTATCACCTGAATATGATGCATTAACAGCATTAGTCAAAGAAACCACAAACTCTTTCCATCGTGAGATTGAGGGATCACAGGTAAACTTTCATTTATTTTTTGGAAACTCCRTATTTTCCTCTAAAAATGAAGGTATGACTAATACAATGTTTATAGTGATGGAATGGGAAAGAATTTTGAATTTTGTCACCTATTTTCTAAAAAAAATTTTTGTTTTTTTGGTACTTAGGGATTGAACTTAGGGACACTCGACCACTGAGCTACATCCCCAGCCCTATTTTGTATTTTATTTAGAGACAGGGTCTCACTGAGTTGCTTAGCACCTCACTTTTGCTGAGGCTAGCTTTGAACTTGCAATCCTCCTGTCTCCCAAGCCACTGGGATTMCAGGCATATATACCACCACACCCAGCATGGAAGTATTAATTTATTATTTAAGGAATTTTACAGTACTAAGTGGTCTCTATTCAAACCAAAATACAACACTGGGATTACTCTACCTGCTTGCCTTGCAGTAGGGGTACGGATATTGGATAGGCAATGGGCAATAAGAATCAGGAAGGTTCTACCTGGCTTTAACCAGTGCAGGATAGAAACAGCTGGTGCCTAAGGGTTGAGATAGTTCTGGGAAATGTCTCCCTTGCTCCATAGTCTGATTTACTTGTGAAGTAGTCAAGTACAATAAAGCTCAAAGGACTTATTCCATAGAACTCATAGGAGCTATGACAATAGGCAGTATACTTCCCCATTTCCATAATGAGCATGATTAGAGCAGATCATAGCACAGGCATTTTGCCAGGCAATGTGTAGTAACAAGATAATGTGGCTCCWGATCACCGATTCTCAATCCTGGCCACTTATCAACATAACCAGGGGTCTTAAAAAAGAATAAACACTTGGATGTGCATACACATATATACTGGAGACTCACTCYCAAAACTTACTATTCAGAAGGTTTTGGGTAAGTCCAGAATCCATAATTTAAAAAAAAGTTTCATAGGTGATTATAATTAAGAACTACTAGGTTAGACAATGGAAGATTGTTTCCAGGATACCCTGTGAATACCAAAATCTGCAGATGCTCATGTCCCATACATAAAATGGTATATTTGCATAAAACCCATGTACAAACTTCTGCATACTTTAAATCAYCTCTACATTATTTATAATACCTAATACAATGTAAATGCTACATACATAAGATTTTATTACTGTATTACTTAGGGAATGAGGACAAGAAAAAGTCTATACATGTATGTAGAGACTTGTATGTATAGACTTGGTATATAAYTTAAAAAATATTTTCAATCTGTGCTTGGCAGAATCCACAGATGCAGAACTAATTCATGTATGTTTATTCCATGACAGAACATTGTAAATTCTGTGTTCCTAAACTGGTCTCAAAATCAACTGTAAGTGCTTGTTTAAAATTTCCTGAGATTAGGTGGGCAGGGTGGTACACGCCTGTAATTCCAGCAACTTTTGAGGCTGAGAGTAGGATGATCACAAGTATTAGGCCAGCCTTAGCAGTTAACTGAGGCCTTAAACAACTTAGTGAGACTCTGTCTCAAAAAATAATSTAAAAGGGCTGGGGATGTAGCTCAGTAGTAAATTTCCTGAGATTGATTCAATAGTTCTTGTCTTGGGGAACTGCATTTTTACCAAGTGCCCTAGGAGATTCTGGTGTAGTTTGTCATCAAGAATTTGAGAATCACTGGAAAATAATAAATGATATGGGGACTGACAGCTCTATGATTTTATAAAAGTATGGCATGTTTGGAATTTAGCTTTTCAAATGAGTACAATCAACAATATGCCTGGCATATAGGGCACTATACCTTTTGTTCCTCATAAGTTTTGGTCTCAGAAAAGTTTCCTTATTTCTCTAAATAGTTGTTACTAATAGGTTAGAATTGGTAACCACCTATTTGCCATTTCTGATTAAGCTGTAGTGAAAAGGCAAGATCAAAGAAGTTGAGCAAAGACTTTACATAGGAAAATCTATTTCCATGTTTGAGGGGTAAGTAAAACAATTTGGACTGCTATGTCAAGTTTATACTAGGTGAATTAGTTGGAGGTACAGTTGAAAAGGTAGTCCATATTATGAAGATCTAGAATATTAGACATTTTATTCTGTATGGAAAAGGTTATATGGGTAGAAGTGTGTTTGGGGAGATTATTCTATAATAATATATAAAACTAGAGGAGAAGGAAGACTAGAYAAGTACTATTACAATTATCTAGGAACTTGAAGTTTACATTTTGGATTGGGATGAGAAATCAGTAACATTCAGCAAATATTCAATAAATATTTGTTGAGTTAATTAAGAACAAGGAAGGGCAGAACAACTGTGAGAGGCCACTCAAATAATATGATATTARATTTGGGGTATGAAGGAAGGAAGAGAGTCAGAAGATGGCTCAAAAGTTCTTAAACCAAGTTGGGTGTGGTTGCGCATGCCTGCAATTCCAGTGGCTCAGGAGGCTGAGGCAGGAGGATCATGAGTTCAAAGTCAGCCTCAGCAAAAGTGAGGTGCTAAGTAACTCAGTTGAGACCCTGTCTCTAAATAAAATACAAAACAGGGCTGGGCATGTGGCTCAGTGCCTCTGAGTTCAATCCCCAGTATCTTCCACTGCCAAAAAATGGTTCTTAAACTGATGATGAAAAGAAAAAAAAAAGATCAAAATAGAATCTGGAGTGGRAAATAAGTTTGGAGGAAAGATTGATGATTTAAGTTCACAATATCGTTGTCATGGAATGAAGAGCTAGAAATGCCTTTGAAGAGTTTTTATACCCTCATTTTTATAGGTGAGAAAACAAACTCAGATATCTTAAGTGACTTAGCAGTGGCAAAGACCAAGTTATAACAGGGCCAAGACTGTATAGAACCCAAGTCTTTTGATTTCTTGTCTAATATGCTAATACTACTTCCTCAAAAATAAAAGGTTAATTGTAACAGGAAATTCAGGTGAATATACTTAGTATTCAGAAGATTTTTATCTGCTTAGAGGGTAGTCATTTATCTTATCTGTTTTACTATTAGTTTTTGTTTTGAAATAGGAGGTAGTAAAAAACTAGGGTCCAATATGTACAAATTTCACTTCTTAAGCTATTTTGTGGTAGAACTATTGGGAAAAGCTTATACTTGTAAAGCACAGCCTTCTTTATTGTGAATTAAAGCTTTGAGAAGACTTAGAGCTTTGAGAAAGTCTTGAAATGAGTTATGCCAAAGCATAAAAAATACCTAAAATATTTCAATTTTTTAAGTTAATCAATAAGTGTTTACTGAATGCCTAATTAAGAAAAAACAACTTTTAGTGGTAATATTGAACATTTATACACATTAACATAAAATTAATATTTGGTTAAAGTAATAAACAGATATTTTAAAGAGACATCCTTATTGAATGCTGGCTTACCATTCAAAATGAAAGATAATATATCACTCATTTTATTTTGAATATTTCCATAAAATAAGACCATTTAAATTCTTTGTTCAACATTTTGAGTTGATTAATTTATACCTGTGTGACAAACCATTCACTAATCTCTAAATGTAATAATAATGGGTTTAACCTACCATATAAGGTAATTGTGCTCATGGGCTCAAATGCAGTTAGGCTATGCTAACAACTTTTGTATATAAATTTTTTTAGTGTGCTTTTACTCTCTAATTGTTCAGTAGTCCTACCACACCCTATTGCCATTAAACCTGCTTCTTTCAATCACTTGTATTAGCCCAGCTTCTGAAGACATTTGGATTTAAATCTCTTCATCTATACAGTGCACCAGTTCTGATCATTGTATATCCAAATACATGTCTAGACCAATCCAGTGTAGTAAAAAGGACATATTTTGTAGAACTCTTCTATTTCTATGAGTGTCAAATCCTATATTCATATATGATAAAAGCAGTTCTTTTTTCTTGGGTAGCATGAGACAGGAGAATAATTTAAAAAAACCATCTGGTGTAATGTGCATGTTTGATCATGGTACATAAAATGACATATGTGTTTTTCCACAGGTAACCTTTGATGTAGCTTGGTCTCCAAAAAACATAGACAGAAGGTGTTATAATTACACTGGAATTGCAGATGCTTGTGACTTTCTGTTCGTGATGTCTTATGATGAACAAAGTCAGATCTGGTCAGAATGTATTGCAGCAGCCAATGCTCCCTATAATCAGACAGTAACCGGTAAGAATCCATGACATGGTCATTTATTAGTAACATTAATTCCAGAACTTTGTGCTTTATATACCTATATTTCAGAAATTCTTATTTATGTACCCTTTCTATTTGTAAAGCTTGCTTGAAACATATAAAGATCATTTAATCCAGAGAGATTTAGTCTTTACAAAAAGTTTCAAAGTTTCGAAGTTTTCACTTAAGTCTTCTAAGAATTGTCCTAACCTTGTGAGATAGATATATTACCATTAACCCTCCATTATAGATGAGATGAAAGGAGTTAGTTCTAATGGTCTCACAATTATTAAGAATTCTACAGTTGTGATTTAAAAGTCCAATAAGCTTGTCATGAAACCACATGAAGAAGATTATCTAGAATATGACAGGATACTTTTGTTAAAATAATTGTTAAGTAATTTAACATCAAAGACAGTTATAATATGGGTACATACCATTTATAATTAATAGGATTGATTTATCTTATTATTATAATACATAAAAATTATATTCCTGAAAGAATTAAGAGTACTTCTGAACTGTTGTTCACATGATATTGTCTTTGAATTATCCTTTACAAAGTTGGATTGGTTTGTATTCCATCAATCAGTAGAATAAAAGATAGCTATCTTTTGTACTCAACTGAAATTGCTAGGATAGTTGGTATTGAGATTTAGTTGTTAATTTATAAGTAATTTTTTTTCTTTTCATACAGAGGTCAAAATCTTAGAAGCCAGCCTGATTTTAATGTAATCTAATTTGAATAGAATAGTAGTCTGATCATAAGCATATACTATTTAAATTTGAAAAATAACCACTCTTCTGTTAAAATTACAAACTAATCTGGGATTCTCAAACAATGTTTCATGGAAGAGATTAATTTTAATCACTATACTGCTCTTTTTCAAGTGTTTGGGAAATGAAACATATCCTACCCTTCTTTGGGATTTAAGTGCAGAGTAAATATTAAAGGCTCTGAAAAGCAATAAATTTATGTAGCTCAACATTCTAGACATTCTGGAAGTATCTCTATAGCATTGGGCAAGAAAATGATTGATGTACTAGAATTTGTTCATTTTTTTGTTTTTGCTTCCTACAAGTACAGATTATTTACTATAGAATAAGAAAGAATAAGAAACATTTCTTTACCCAGGCTATTGCTAGGATACTTAAAGGATATAGTAAACATGGAATGCTTGTGCTTTTTATAAGAAATTCTGAGTGTATCACTGCCAGAAAGCTTAAGATTTATAGAAATTTTATGAAACTTTAGAATCTATAATATCAAACTTATCATATCTTAGCAGTGAACAGATAACATCAGCATATTTTCCTGTAGTGAATCATTCTTTCTGCAGTTAGATTTTGTGAAGTTTGCCTTCTTTGATTCAAAAAGAAATGGGTATAAAGCAAGATATGGATTTATGATTCTTARGGGATTAATTTTATAATATTAGAGAAAAACTATTAGTATTTTGCATAAAAGTTTTTATGAATTTAGATTGTGGGTGGTTGCATGGCTTCTATGAACATATTAATAGATACTGAAAAGAAAAAACTTTTTTTCTCTCTCTCCTTAACTAGGGTATAGAGACTATATCAAGATGGGCATTAACCCTAAAAAACTTGTGATGGGTATTCCTTGGTATGGTTATGATTATACCTGCCTGAATCTTTCTGAGGTAAGAACAAGTCATTTGTTATTCATTTTTTCCAATTATATATTTAGAGCCTCTTTTGTTTCATTAAGAATATATTGAAAATATATTGAAAACTTAAAAATTTATTTTAAATTATTTAATCACATGGAAGCTTCTGAATGTCATACATTTTCATCTCATAACAAAATTTCTTTAACTTTTATTCTGTATGGTCAGTTTTCTTTTTGTTGAATATGTTTTATTTATAATAAATAGCTTTGTTTGATAATCTATAACATGAATATTTTTTCATTTCTAGGATCATGTTTGTACCATTGCAAAAGTCCCTTTCCAGGGCGCTCCTTGTAGTGATGCTGCAGGACACCAGGTGCCCTATAAAATGATCATGAAGCAAATAAATAGTTCTATTTCTGGAAGCCAATGGAATAAAGAACAGATGGCTCCTTATTATAACTACAAAGTAAGACTTTTTACAAGTTATGAACATTTATTCTGTTAATTTTCATATAACTATATACATATTTCTAAATTCTTTAAGTTTGTAGATGGACACAATACCTTTAGTTTRTTTATTTATATGTGGTGCTGAGGATCAAACCCAGTGCCTCATATGTGCTAGGCAAGCTCTCTACCACTGAGTTGTAACCCCAGCCCCTCTGTATAACTATATATTTTTATAATTAGACATTTGGTTTAAGAATTTCCATCAGTTTTAGAGTACAACATACAGACTACTGTTTACATGTAAACTTGACTTTGAATCTGTGTAATCAGGAACTTTAGTTTTCTGGCAGAGCAGGACTCTGCTTTGCCACTCAATTTAGATGATGCTATAAAAACATGCATCTTACAAATACGACTTCTTAACAGTTGACAATAATGTTACAAAATTTGCTTTTGAAAGGGCTTTGGGCCAAAATAGGTTACTAAACTCTGGAAGCCTACATTTCAATGTAACCTAAAGATTCTGATGAGACTCTTTGTTTGGATCCTTTGAACTCATCTCTTTTAGATCTCCACACATTATATAATAGGTTACTGTGATCTACAGTCATCTTTCTATGCTGCAGAGCACCAGAATTTATTCCTTAACTCTGTGTTTTGGTACCCATTTTCCAACTAGAACTCATTTTTTGAAGTTATAGAATTCAGAAAACGTTTTGATGACCCTTGAAGGCCATTTAATTGTATTTAAGAAAACAATCCAGTTATAATTGTTTTGTTCCTCTTTTTTATTATAAAATTCTGTAATCAAAGTCAAGTTTCTGTTGTGTGAAAAGAATTCATTCTGCTTTCTTCTGCTGTTTCAGCCCTAGCAGCTTCATTTTGGACTCAATATTCTGGAAGGACTTTATGCTTTAACCAGGCCTAAATCAATCAATTTGCCCTTCCTTCCTTCACTATTTTGAGACATTCGCAATTTCTCATTAACTATCAAAAAAGCTCAAAGTACTAAGTAGGATGGCGGCAAATTCAGAATTATGTCTTTGGGTTTACCCCTGAATCTTCAAAGATTTTTCATATTTAGATGCAGGTTTTGCAAGCTGTCCTTTGATGGTGAATAACAACTGTTACTACAGCATGTATGGCTTTGTTTAGAACCTAAAAATATTAAAGGATAGGTACAAGACTTAGGATGCAATATGCTTGTATGTAATGAATCTACTATACTTATTAATTTACCAAGTTATCAATAAYCTTCAAATTAGTCATCTTAGGAGAACATTCTAACTCCAGAAGTACTACCATAGATAAAAATTGGTTGGCATTTATTCACAATTGCAGTTTCCCAGAGGAATATAAATATTAGTAAGTTACTCTTAGTCCCAGGTCTATTTTTACCTCGTATCTTTTTTCTCCTTTCTTTACTCTTTTGCCTAGGTCTGCTCCTTTCCTTTTTCCTCTTTTTTTTTTTTTTTTGAGGTGGGTACCAGGGATTGAACTCAGGGGCACTTGACCACTGAGCCYTATCCCCAGTCCTATTTTGTATTTTTATTTAGAGACAGGCTCTCACTGAGTTGCTTAGCTACCTCGCTTTTTGCTAAGGCTGGCTTTGRACTTGCAACCCTCCTGCCTCAGCCTCTTGAGCCAGTGGGATTATAGGTGTGTGCCACTGCTCCTGGCATCCTCTATCTCTTATCCAGTAGCTTATGTGCTTCCTGAGAGAGAACTACACAGAGTAGAACTCAAGAGTATAAGATCAGGCTGGGCGCAGTGGCGCATGCCTATAATCCTAGCAGCTTGGAAGTCTGAGGCAGGAAGATTGTGAGTTCAAAGCCAGCCTCAGCAACTTAGTGAGRCCCTAAGAAACTAGTGAAACCCTATATCTTAAATAAAATATAAAAAGGGATGGGGATGTGGCTTAGTGGTTGAGTGCCCCTAGGTTCAATCCCCAGTACCAAAGAGGGGGGGGAGAGAGTGTGAGTATAAGATCAGAATCTAATTAATGATTCTTAATTGGGCCTGTGTTAAATTACCTATTAAGTCATGCCTAACAGTCTCTTAGAATCCATTCTGTACAACCAGGAGAAGTGGGTACTTTCCTCCTCCATTGTCATTACCTTTTGATTTGGCTGATTCATCTTTTAAAAAACCCATCTGGTAAGCTCCTAGCTAGGCACACTTCCAGGAACTGTAGGGAATATAAAAATGTATGTAAGCTTGTTTTAAAGGACSAGAGCAGTAGTTCCCCCTAACTTCAGCTGCATATCATAATACCTAATGAACATACACAAAACAAACAAATATACATCTCAGCACCATTGCTGGAGGATTTTGATTCAATAGATTTCACATGGTATGGGGCCCAGAAATCCGGGGTTTTGTAGAGGTGGGGATTGAATGCAGGGCTTTGCACATGCTAGGCAAGTGCTCTATCATTGGCCCATACCCACAGCCCCAGGATCTATATTTTTAAAACCTTTACAATGATTCAGATATACATCTTGGTTGACAATCATTGCATCAGATCAAGGAGATAATCTTAGAACATGAGAAGGACCTTAAATAGTCTACATTAGGAGACTCATTTGTATAATCCTTGTTGTTAAAAGTGCCATAAACAATAATCTCTAGGAAATAGCACATACAGATCCATGGAATAATAAAGCAGGAAAGTATTGTGCTGTGAAGTTTTCATGTTTCCTTTTTGAATAATTTAAGAAACCTTTTTCCCTTTTACTGTACTAAATACCTTAAGTTTCTATTTTAATTTATTTGTGTAGGATCCTGCTGGATATTTTCATCAAGTGTGGTATGATAACCCTCAGAGCATTTCTCTGAAGGCAGCATATATACAAAACTATGGTTTACTGGGCATCGGCATGTGGAATGCAAACTGTCTTGACTACTCAAAAGATGCTGTGGCCAAACAGCAAACTGAAGAAATGTGGAAAGTCTTAAAGCCAAAGCTGTGACAGAGAAAAACATCTTGTTAAACTCTGAAGATTTAAAAATTATCTGTATAAATAGATCTGTTTCCTGAAGAGATTAAAAAATACATGCATTTTTGTTATGTTGCTATATATTTAGTTACTAATATACTGAAAAAAAAACAGATAAAGAATAAAGAAATGGTTTGATGGAATTTGAAAAAGAAAGAAATAAAAATCTTAAATACCCAGAAACCTAAAGGCATGAAACAAATCAAACTTACATGTTAAATCTTCCTCTTTAGTGTGTTTCAGCATTATAATTAGGAAAAATTGCTTTCAAAATTTTATTATGCTAATTTTACTCCAATATTAAAAATATGAGTCAATTCTAGTTTTAAAAATATATATAACTTGAAGTAGAAATTGTTTGCTTAGAATAGAGTTTTAAAAACATAGCCTTTGAGAAGCAGTTTGTTTTGTACTTTTTTTCCAATAAATTTTAAACATGGAATTCAGTGTCTTCTGTTTAGGTTCATCAAAATGATGAAAATAATTTTTCTGCTTTCTGATTCGATATAGTACATACTCATATTCTCTGAGGTATCTGAAATAATGTCAACTTCCTGACAGTGAATAAAGAAAAAAAAGAAATACTAAGAATTAAATGTATTCACAAAATACAAAACAGAAGATAACAGTAATATTGTGAATTAGTAATTTAGAGCTACTTAATATTTTCCAAACCAATTATTTTTTATGAGGCTTATGTGCGGAATGTTTTTACAGTAGGAATAATGGTGTTGAACTTGACTCTAGTCACTATTATTTGAACTTCCAATTATTCAGATACCTTCATTTATGAACGTGTAGAATTTATTTCTTGGCTAGTTTTCAAGGTTAAAAATTTCTTTTTCTGCATCTGCATTTTACTTTTAATTATCTAAAGATGTTGAGTTCTCAACTAGTTCCTTTTTCTAAAAGATTAATTTTATGCAGAGGACTTTCCTAAACATAAAGAAATCCGTTTTCTTTCATAAGGTAATTAAGAATTTCATTGTGCTGCACTGGTTCCTGTGAATAGAGATTAGAATTTTGTATCCTGGAACTCTAGATTTATATTAATCCTGTCTTTCCAGCACATCATCCCTTCCAAATTGAAATAAATGATGACTCAACCATCTTTTACAATATTACTTTTCCTTCCTATAAGTTGTTTATTACAGAATAAAATTAACCTATTATGTATTAAATTACTTCATGTTTCTAAAAGAATCTCTACATTTCTAAATTATTTTAAATTTATATTTTAAAATGAGTTAATAAAAATTCTTAGATATTAATTTCTATCACTGTTCTGATACAATTGCTTTTAGTCAAGATTTAATGAGCAAATTTAATCTTTCTATGTAAATACATAGTATTTATTAAAATGTATTTTCTTTGAAATTAGATTTTAGTTATATTAGCTCTTAAATTTTATCATTAACAAAAAGTAATTTTAAATTTATAAAATATAGTGCTGCAAAATAATAGGTAATAGACTTGAAATCTTCAAAAGTAAACATCAACTGTTTAGCTTTATGCTACATCTAGTATTTCCTGAAACACTTTGTAATACCCACATGAAAAGTAAAGAGAGATAAATCTTAGAATTTTTWAAAAATTTATTTTTAAACTGATACATTAATCTTAATATTTATATAATGTACTACAAGGAGAACAAGATTTAATCTGTTCAAATAAATATTGAAAGTTTTCAACAAATAAGTTAAATTAACATACCTGATTGAGATTTTAAAGATGTATTGGTTTTCTTCTGTGCCATTTCAGCTTTCAGTGTTCGTAAGTCTGAAGCTGCTTGTTTTCTCATCTATAAAAATAATTACCTCTCAAAACTGAACTTCAYTGTACCCTTCTAGAAGTAGATCAGAATTGTCAATTTTGTAACTGTTTTAACTGCCTTCTCTCATTTGCCTTCCATACCTTTATTCCCTCTGGATTACTACAGCAAATTCATAGGTCATAAATCCTGTTTAATACCTATGCTTATATAACTAGGTATGCTATGAGATAATTCCATTTATTAGTATATACAGATAATACAACTGAACTGTCCTAAATAAGGTGAGAAGGAATTTTATTTTTTTTTCTTAAGCTTCAAAAATCTGTTGCTATTAATGGGTAAAGAAAATAGTAGAAAAACAAAAACTCAGAAATACAAAAAMCCCTTAATTCCTAGTCCTTAGGAACTAAACAGATATTTAAGAAATTTAATAAAAGTTTTTACTCTGTGCTAAGCACTCTTTTAAATGTATTAATCCTTTGATTTTTTTCAAATTTTTCTTGAGGCACATACTATTATTTATTATAAAATGAAATAAACTCAAGAAACTTGAGACTCAAGGAAACTAAGTATCTTGCTCAAGGTATAAAGTTAAAAAGTGGCACAGCCACCTGGGACCAGAGGCCTTGCTATTCCAGGTACTATTGGTGGACAAACACCATTAGCATTATCTGCAAGCTTGTTAGGGATGAAGAATCTCAGGCTTCTCCCAGTCCTAGAGAGCCAGATGCTTCATTTTAAAACGACCTTTCCAGGTGATAGCACATTAAACTTCAAGAAACTACTTATGCTATACTATCTTGAATATATGGTTGCAACAGACTTAGGCTAGATTTCTGTCCCTTAGTTCTGAATGTTATAGGTAGGGATGTTTGGGGTAGTTCATTCAGAAATCAGTAAATATTATAGTATCTGTTAACGTGCCAATCAGGCTCTATGGTTAAATATAGGAAATATTTTATAGTCTATAAGCTGAAAACTTTGTTCTCTAGGAATTAAGGGGTTTTTGTATTTTGAAGATTTTGTTTATTTTTCTTCTTCATTTGTCTTTATTAATTTTATACTATTTACATGCAAAGCATATGTGATGTTTATAAGGTTAACATGTTCAAAGAAGATAGGATCTAAGCATGCTTTCCAGAAGAAAAGAACATTGGGGAGTCATAACTGAAGGCTCTGGGGGCATTTTAATTATTCTTTCTACTCACACAACTATCTTTCAGTGTACAAATTTCCATCTTGGCTTTCTCTCTCATATACTGAGTAAACACACGGTTTTCCTTCACTGTTTTTGAGTTGTTTTTGAGTCTAGGTTGTATATGAATGTTTACTTCATAGTTTGTTAAAAATTGTCCTTTGATATTTTTTTTCTCTTTTTTAACTTTTAAGCTTCTTAGTGCTGAACCAGGACTTAAACTCAAGAGTGCCTCTAAGTAAAAAGAATCTAGAAGTACACTATCCAGTGTAGTAGACAGGTGTCATATGTAGCTATTTAAATCAACTAAAGTTTAATAAAATTTAAAATTCAGTTCCTCTGTCACACAAGCATTTCAAGGCTCAATATCCTAAGTGGCTAGTGGCTACCATATTGGATGGTGAGATASAGAACATCTCTATCACCACAGAAAGTTCTGCTGGACAGTCATAAATCTAGAAGGGGGTCATTATTCTGTGTTATAAAGCTTTCTGATAAAGAGTGAATGGAGGGCATTCCTATAATTATCATTCTTATTTTCCTGTTCTGTGTATTATAACTTGTTTGAAAGTGTATAATTCTCTATTTTGTGTTCAACAAAAGAGCTTTTAAAGATATCTATATTCTGAAATTATTCCTAYGATGTGATAATCACAGTTTTTAATCAAGTAAGTAAAATAGGCCCACAACCCTTTATTAAATATCTACTATATACAATGTCCTATGGAAGAAACAAAATGAATAAAAGGCACAGACCTGAAAGAACTTATCATCTAGTTTTACTAAGATTCATAGTAAAAACAAATAAAAAATATATATGAAAATAACTGGACAGAATGAGATAATCCCCAAGTAGAGGGGAAGAAATTGAATGGGATTTCGAGGAGAGGTCAGAAGTTTGTCAAGACTTATTTATGAATGACTCTAATATAGGAAAAGTATCTTTAATATATTTTTTGAGACTAAACTGACTATAGTAAAATTTTATTATATTTTTCCTTTGGCCTTGCTATAACCTACATCTTTTAAAAAAACATAGATTTTCATTCATGCTATTTATTGTTAAATAATAAAACTTTAAAAAAGTCAATTCTGACTATTCTTTTACTATCAACACAAAGTTAAAACACCAAAATATTTTAGTATTATTTCAAGATGAATGTTATAATATGATTAAGAGACACATAAATTACCTTAACTTCTATGATGAGTTTCATTTTATCAGTATCCAATTTTCTTTTAAGTTGGTCAATTGCATGCTGTACTTCAGTGATCTGGATTATAAGGTTATTCTGTGTGAGATATAGAAAGACGCATTTATTTAGCATAGCATCTGCATATTTTAATGCAAGGCATTTTATACTGTGAACTGATAAGTAACAAAAGAAAAAAATCATCATAATAAAGTATTTCCATAAAATAAACTTATTGTTTTAGAATAAATTACTTGTTACTTTCTATTTATTTCTTGCACTTTAGGAACTACGTTCTCTTCTATCATTGTTGTATCATTTGCTATTTAAAAAACGGATATTTACAAAAATTACCATTAAATTAGCACCAGAGAAACTGATAACTATTACTAAGAAATGAATAAGCTAGGTTGAAGATACTAGCTGAATTTAGAAATTGACAATAATGCCTTTGTTAGCTGAATCAGATTGGAATTATTTAATAATATTTAATAAATGTGACACATGTTTTATATAAAAATATTTTAATACAAAAAAACTAGTTAAAATAAGACTTTTTGGTCAGTTTGTCCAAAAAGTTTGTGAGGTATAGTGATCTTCACTAATGAAATTATTTAAGAATTTAAACATGTTGAACTTGATAAAATTGTAAGATAAAGTATCAGCTGTGTGAACCCTAAAGAGAGAAATAGAAGAAGATCTTAGAAGATGGAAAAATATACCCTGTTCATGGATAGGCAGAACTAACATCATCAAAATGGCGATATTACCAAAAGTTCTCTATAGGTTTAATGCAATTCCAATCAAAATCCCAA